CCTAACTAATTTAGCAGTGTTCACCGAAGATTGCCTGGATTCTTTTCAAAAAGGTTTTCAGATTGATGCGGTTTACACGGACTTTTCAAAGGCCTTTGACAGAGTATCCCATAGAGTTCTTTTAGCTAAACTGGAAATACTAGGATTCCACTCTCTATTATTGAGGTGGATCTCATCCTATTTAAACAACAGACGTTGTGTCGTTCGCCTCGACGGTGCTTCTTCTTATTCTTTCGTAGCTTCCTCTGGGGTTCCCCAGGGAAGCGTCCTCGGTCCCTTGCTGTTTATTCTGTTTATTAATGATATTTCCTCTTGCTTCTCAAAATGTAAGTTTCTTCTCTACGCGGATGACTTAAAAATTTATTCTGAAATTAAGTCCTTAGAAGATTCTTTCGTCCTACAGGGCGAGCTTGACAACTTGTTCCAGTGGTGCGAACGTAATCGCCTATTTCTTAACATTGCTAAGTGTCACTATACCTCTTATGGTAGACTCGTTTACAATCTCCCAACATCGTATCGTCTTTCGAATGTTGCGCTAAAAAAGGTTGATGAATTTAAAGACCTTGGTGTTTACTTTGACCCCAAACTCAGCTTTACCACTCACATAAATTTTGTTGTTTCTAAGGCGTATGCTATGTTGGCTTTTATTCGGCGTAACTGTTCGTCGTTTTCTGACCCATACACTTTAAAAGTATTGTACACGTCTCTAGTTCGGTCGAAGTTAGAATATGCAGTATTTATCTGGAGGCCTTTTCATGCCGTTCATATTAGGAGATTGGAGTCGGTCCAGAGGGCTTTCGTACGTTTCGCCCTGCGGCGGTTGAACTTTCTGGAACCGATCCCACCCTATAGTTCTCGTTGTTTGCTCATAAGTCTCATGTCACTAGAATCGAGACGTTCACTGCTGTCGATGTGCGTTGTTTATGATATTATTAATGGCTTAATCGATTGCTCATACCTACTCATGAAAATTAGTTTTACCGCCCTATTCCCACAACACTGACAAAATTCATCATATGACTATTGTCACAATTGCTGCGCCTAAAACACAATATAAACATTGTTTCGCCGTTGTCACTTACTCAGTAGGTCATAACAATAAAACTAACAATTGTCATACGACAGCTTAAAATAAATTTGCGGCATAGTATTAGGCGCAGTAGTAAAGGCAATAGTCAGCCGCTGAGTTTTGTCAGTGGTGTGGGAATAGGGCGGTTAATGTACCTTCACGGGTCCTTCGTTGTAACGAGATGTTTTATGTGGGTTTTGCTAGAACAGTTTATGCGATGAATGCTCCTATAAGACGGACACTTTCGGAATTAAACGATTTTTCTTTTTCTTTGGGATTTGACTTTTGCTATACCAAGTTTACTTTTAAGAGCCTGCTCATAAGACACTTAACATAGCTTTACTTTACTAATTATTGTTTATTGATAATGTTAAGCCTAATATAATTTTGCTACACAGTCTGTGAACTTACTGTTTGTTGATTAATGAATAAATATGAAATATGAAATATGAAATAATTTAGGGCGCAGTACCACTTCGTAGAACCAGCGTTCGATCCCTGTTGCGTGCAACATCAAAAACAAACAAGCTTTTTTCTAATAACGGTCGCCCCTCGACATGCAATGCGCAAACCTCCGAGTGTTCTTCTGCCATGAAAAAAGCTACTCATTTGCCTTTCGGAAGCGGCGTAAAACTGTAGCTCCCTCCCGTTTATGTAACAACCTCAAGGCGCACACAAGAAATTAAAAGAGAAGCTCGGCCAAGCACTAGCGAATGTGTAAGCGTCAAATATTTGTTTGTATATTTTGTATGACGCTGCTTGTGCCTTATTGTTCAGTAGGGCCCAGATTATACTCCTGGTCCACGAAAATTCTAAATCATATAAAACTTGTATGTTGGCGGTCGCTCTTCATCAGGAAATAAAAAAAGTTTCAAGTGTATTTCTGCTATGAAAAATTTTCCCACAAAAACCCTACGTCTTTCAGTAGCGGCGTTAAACTGTAGTTTTTCCGCAGTTTTTGTTAAATCATCAAGACACACATTACAAATTGAAGCAGAGCCTAACTTGACTAAAAACAATTTAAACGTTTGTACTTATGCCATGTCGATCGTCACGTGACAATTGTCCACAATTACTAGAGTCTCATTAAAAGTCGAATTTATTTTAATCTGTTTGTTATAAAATTGATTTATGCATAGTTGCTAATCCTTGGCTTTAGATTTAATATACCTACTTACCACCCATTTCTGTGCTTTCTTGATAAATTAACTCTAAAGAAATTTTATCAAGATTCTGTGTAAATATTTATGAAATAAAAAGCTCTACGATTTCAACATGAAGTTAACTGATTTCATACAGGCAAGTTCTGCAATTCCTTTTTGAGTGAATTTCAACCCCATTCAAATTGAATTCAAACTTGAGTTGCGATTCACTCGGAAATGAATTGCAGAACCTGCCTGATTGTCACATTTAATAAATATGAAGTTCAGATTCAAAAAGCTATTGGCTACCGCAGCCGAGTTAGTAGAGATGTCGACTATTATTCTATGAGTCCCAAGTTCAAATACCCGTATTAATTAATCGATATAAAAATGTTTTCTGATATAAAAAATGTATGATTTTCAAATGAAATTTCATTTTTTAAACGGTTGTCAATAGAATTTTCAATCTTAATAATTTAACAAGAAAAGAGCTTTAAATTTCTATGCTAGAATCCCAATTCTTGATAAATAATTGACAAAAAAAAAAAGTCCAAGTAAAGTCCAGTTGGAATTGAAATTTTGGCATTAGGGTGCCCATCGAAAAACAAAACTTATGAAATTTCAAGATCTTAGCTTCCCCCTAATTTTTGTATGACATTTGGTTGAGATCCGTGAAGTAGTTTTTGAGTGCACATATGTTATATGCGGGCAGTGCCTCGCATAACTAAAATTATTCTAAAAATTCAAAAAAAAAAATGTTCTTCAAAATTTCTATCTACTATGTCTGCACTTTGCACTAAAAAATTTAATTCAAATAAATAACTAAATGATCAGCTTTCGATTAAAAAATAATAATCAAATATGAAATATTGAAATATGAAGGATCTGGGCCATTTTGAATTCCATTTTGGCATAACTAAAGTTCCCAAAATCCAGTCCAACGCTCAAATTCTACGACAGTTTCGTTGAAAATTGAACAACACTGACACGTGACACCGTGTGAAGCTGCTGCTGATTTTTGAACCATGTAGCCGTTTTCTTTTAAATCGGTATAAGTTCTTCTTTCAACATAAATTTTTCCCATGGTGGAATAATAACAAGATGTTGTCAGTAGTGACGTGTTTGTTGTAATTTTGACAACATCGGCATGCTTATTTTCAGTGCTGCCGATCTTAATTTTTATACTACTATTCGTTGGGAAATAGTATCTAAAATCTCAATTTAGTAGTACCGCGATTTTTAACGAACTTGGTGTTTTCAGAACGATATTAATATTTAAAATTGCAGGATTTGTATAATTTTTGTCCTCAAAATATAAAATACAAAAGATGTCGTGGTTATCAATGGAAAAACACGTACACAAAAATCGTATGGAAAGGCGATTTTTTTATATTGAATATCTTTTGCTGCATTATCATAATATCGAGCCAAATGGACTACTGATACACTAGAATATTGCGGTTAAATTACGATTTCGCTTACATTAACGATATTTAAGTGTTTTAATCTATTTAAAAAATCATTAACAGTCTTATAGGAAATTGATTTATTTTACGACCTTTACTTTTTTATAACTTAAAATATATGTCCAAGCTGTGTGGAGCTGACGATACAAACATATATTCAGGCTTATGAGCCTGTAATTATACATTTTTCTACATTTAATTTGAAATAGTATGCACAAACGGATTAAAAGTAGTAAATAATTAGTACATTTTATATTACTTTAAAATGCGTAACCGGAATAGACCTGCCGAAAAAGTGAGGTTAAGTTACCTTGTTATTATTACACCATGAATTTTTCCAATGAAGGTTTTATTTTGAATTACATTTGTATGTACTTACTTCTCGTATGTCCCGTCCAAAGAAAATTTGTATATTTTCCAAACGCAATGAAATAATTTTTCTCTCAAAGACAGAAAAGAGCTTTCAAGAGAATTTAAAATGCGTAACCGGAATAGACCTGCCGAAAAAGTGAGGTTAAGTTCCCTTGTTATTATTACACCATGAATTTTTCCAATGAAGGTTTTATTTTGAAATACATTTCTATGTACTTACTTCTCGTGTGTCCCTTCCAAAGAAAATTTGTATATTTTCCAAACGCAATCAAATTATTTTTCTCTCAAAGACAGAAAAGAGCTTTCAAGAGAATTTACAATTGTATTGCAAAAGTCTTTCGAAAGACTGTTGTGGGTTGAAAGACAGTTGCCAGAGTTGCCCCGTAATCTTAAGAAACCTGCATTAAGAAAAAAAATGTACCAACTTTGTGAACGTCAGTCGACTTTGAAAAAGTGAGTTTGTTAAATTTAAATTTTGGAAGACATTAATACAGGTCTCCTAACTTGGCATCGCCTTCTTTCCTATGAATTTTTACAGGAGAAATGGTTTTAATTTATTACTTAAAGAGATATTTTCAATACAGTCCAGCTCACAATTGATCATAGATTTAGCGAAAAAATGTACTTTGAAAGGCTGCTCAGACATGAATCTCTTATTTACTGTTTGAAGTATTTTTTGGCAAATGTAAAAGCAAACTCACGGTTTACAGTACGATCGTGATTCTTTTCTTAAATTCGCTTATGTTCCCGTTCGCTTATTTGGATTTCAGCATTGCTGTGAAGTAAACGGTATTAGGCAATGGTGATACTTCGTCTTTTGTATTATGGAACGATCTTTTCGTATTTAGATAGAATAATTGGTACTTCCATCGAAATTTCTGTAATTTCAGAATCCTTTATAAATTCACATTCTGTTTATCTGGAATACATTAATCTTTCATTCAGTTATTCTTTCTTTATTACAGCTTCAATACCAGCGAAACATTCGTTTCGTCTACACAAACTTCGGCCAATATACCGCAGGCGACTGAGACAAATATACAAAACGTTCATATAATGGCAGCTGAGCAACCTATATTGTATGTAACACCTGCAACAGATAACGCTCAGCTAGTCGCTCATCATTCAACCACCAGCTTAACGCAACCGAACACAAATCCTGACTCTACAGTTGAAAATGAGCAACAAGCATCGAGCCAATCAGATGCATTTAAAATACCAACGGATGCATTGCAGGCGAATACAACACCGCCATTACAGGAGTATGCATCAACTGGACGTGCCGTTGACTATAATCGTCCGGCATATAATTACAATCGACTTATCACGCCTTTAATCAAAAGCCCAACATTATCAGCGCCAGTAGTACGTGCACGACCGACAACGGTTGTTTCGCCATCGCAAAAAACATCTAACATTGGGCAAATAGTCTATCCAAACGCGTCTAACGTACGACGGCCACCAAATCGAGCGGAAATTAATAAACTTACGGGCAAAGGTAAGTGAGACTTACTTGGATACTTAAGTACTTACAGATGTACATACATACATATACATATATTGTTATATAGAGGGGGGTAAGGAGAATGTTTATAAAGACATCATTCATTTAATTATCTGTTTAGAGTCGTATAAACAGCTTTGTATATAAATTTGTGCTTTTAACTTCGCGTATGTCTAAAGCACGTACAACCATACATTATGTATATAATTTAAAACTTTTCGATTACTTGTTTTTTTTTTTTTAATTTTAATCGCACTGGTATGTATGTATATTATGGAAATAGCCGCTAACTAAATATCATTAACCCTGCTACTTAATATTATAAATGTTTGTGAGTGAGTGAGTGAGTATGTTTGTTGCTTTAGAGCTTTTACGCTAAAACAGCTGAACGGATTAGAATGAAATTTGGCACATATACATAGATGTACATTTGTAGGTCATACCTGGATTAACATATAGCATATCTATTTATGAGACATTCCACCCTTTTCAAAGGTTAAAATCAATCAATTATTAAGTTAAATAAAATATTACAACAATATGGGTGTCCAATTAAATGGGTTCCAGAAGGATTTACCACGAAAAAATGTTGGGGGTTGCCACCTGATAAAATTTTAAAATTGATTTGTTAATAAGTTAAATAAAATATCACAGCAATGTGGATGTCAAACGAAATATGTTCAAGAACGATTTTTGTATAAATTTTAAATCAATTAAATTAGCAGATGAATTGAACAGAGAGAATTGAAATACCTTAATATAGGCGTTAAAGAAGAGAGTTTTAAAATACTTTTATTTGGAAAATATATTTATATGATTATCAAACGAGAGATTTTAAGAAAGCTAAACTTCGGAAATATTCGTTAAGAGGGTTGCCAGAAGTTCATCGAAATAATTTAATACGTATATCAAACGCGAGAGGTTTAACAAAGCTTTTGTTTTAAGAATATTTTTGAACGGGGCTGCCACCTGTTTAGAAATTCAAAATCAATTTAACTAACACGACAAATAAAATATTTAATATGGATATCAAACGAGAGAGAGGTTTAAGTATCCCAAATTTCGGAAATATTTGTTAAGAGAGTTGCCGGTTATTCAAAAAGTTAAAATCAGTTTAATTAATAAGCTTTTGTTCCTGCCACCTAATAAGTAATTCAAAATTAGTTTAACTAACCCGATAATAAAATGTGTTAAAATTAATATCAAACGAGAGAGATTTTAGAAAAGCTGTATGTATGCATTTTGAAAATATTTTTGATAAGGGCTGCCACCAGCTTAGGGATTTAACAATTCAATTTAATTGACAAGTAAGCTTACTAATGTTATGAATGTGAAGATTTATGTGTGAATTTAGCATACATATGCAGATATAGCATATTTTTTTAAGAGTGTTGCCGCCTTCTTTAAAAGTTAATTTCTTTTTTAAACCATAAGTTCAAGGAAATTTTAAAGTATGCATGCCAAACGAACAAGATTTAAAAAATAATAATAATACGAAAATATTTTTTAAAAAGATTCCCACCTATTTAAAAATGTGAGAGTTTAAATTTAATAATTAAATTAATAAGTAAAATGAAGTATTACAATGCGGGTAGCAAACGAAAGAGGTTTAAGAAAGCTTTTTTTGAAAAGGTTTGCCACCTCTAACGATTTTGATGAAATTTTGTACAAAGATAATGTTTTGGATTTTATCTGCATAGGCATTATCTCCGAGAAGACTGGTATAAGGTGTCCACCTATTTTTAATTAGTTACAAATTAATTAAAGCATCATAATATTGGTATCAAATGGAAGGTATTTTAAAGATCCCTAATTCAAAAATATTTTTTTAGTAGGGTTGCCACCTATTTTGAATCGAATATTTATTAAATATTTTTTTTAGAAAAAAGGTAAAATATTACTATTCATGGGTACCAAGAGAACGCTCTTAAACAATGCTTTCCAAATCTTGAAAACTTTAAAAAGTATACGAACTCCGAGCAAAGTTCGGTCAACCTGGTAATTTTAAAGTAAAAAACCGAGTCAAATCTCCCTATACGTATACATAAGTTAAACTTTTTTCCGCAAAAGAAGACAAATCATTCAAATTCTTCCTTCTTTTCGTAGTATGTAGTTTTTCCTTAAACCATACAATTCTTTTTTAGTGCTTCCAGTATTTTCCAAATCCGTGAATGAAAAATTGTATAGTCCTAAATCAAAAACCGAGCAATATAAAACAAACATTTTTTTTATAATAGCGGTCACACTCGGCATGCAGTGGCAAAACCTCCGAGTGTACTTCGACTATGAAGAAGTTTCGTTTAAAGATCAGCGCTCTCAGACACTCATCACAAATTGGACAAAAATTATAAATTTTATTGGTGTATTTAATGGACTTTATATGCATACATAATTTTATTGTAAGGATGCCGATTCAAATTAATAAAAATCAATGTTTCTTGCACAACGGTCGATTTCTTCTGGCATGATTGAAGGTGCTGCACATATTTCGTTGTCGCTGTGCTATGATTTTGTTTAAATTTTTGTAAAGTTGCTTACCACACGTACGATTGCTATAAATTTTGCTTCCATTTGTTTAAGATTTACAAATTCGATGTCTTCAAACTAAAAACAAAAGCACCAAGCACCGAACTTAAAAGTTTTCGCGCTTTGAATGACCACTAAATTTGGTGCGAAAAGCACGAAGTTGGTAACAGAGCCAGAATTCGTGAAATCGATCAGTAAAAATGAGAGTTTTTTGATTTTTAGTTTTAATATGGTGGTTGTATAATTCAGGAGCATGGAATGGGATCCCCATCTACAAAACTTCGAAAAAAATATATATTTCGCAAATAAAGTTATTTATTGCAGTGAACTGAAAGGTAAAAAATTATTTGTAGATACGTATAAAGATTTCGTTTTGAGAATAATAGGAAGCTCCCTTACTTGATTTAATTTGACTTTTTAAATTAACTTAAAAAAGGATTAAAGTGACAATGAAATTAAGTTTAATGTGATATAAAGCGTAGTGTCAGCAGTATCGATAATTTTATGGAAAAGGTGCAAATATGTATGATAAATAAACTGATGTGCATAACATTAAGGTGTTTTTTATACACTTTGCATAAAATATTACTCATACGTCACGTACTAACAAGAATATTGTGCTTTGCATTTTTCATATTAACACTTTGCATAAAAATAAATATGCCTTGCATTGTAAATATACAAACCACAAACACATGTACATTTTTATGGCGTTAATGTCTTCATCAAATCATGTGCACACACGTATAAGCATTACGAAAGAAGATATTTTTGTCCAAAACAAATTGATAAAAATGTGTTCCATAATTCTTCAGCTCAATTTAGTGATCGTTTCACCCCTGGTGAAGCTACAGCTGCGGGACAATTTGCCAAACATCATAAACACAACCACGCTCATAAAGCGGCAAATTCGGTCAATTCAGCTAACAAGGTAGCGGCTGCTTCACAAATCATACAACAAACGTACAAACCGCCGAATAATATCTACTCGTTTCCACCAAATGTAAATGCACAATATTCGTCACCATATCAGGACCCCAAAGCCGCCCTGCCCTCAAGCAATGTCAACAGTTATGCCCCGCCACCGTCTGGCCAATTGCTGGACGCAGCTGGCAGCAGCGACGCAGGTTACAAATATGCAGGGCCTACTAATCCTGATTATCTGCCGCCATCAGGAAAAGATGGAACCAATGAAGATATGAAAAAACCAATGCCTTCTACCACCGATGATCAGAAGGGCATGGAAGGCGATGTGGATGCTGACAACGATAATGGCTCCGATGATACTATAGGTGTTCTACCAGCCAGCGCTATGGGTGATCCAGAAAAAGATATGGATGGCAAAGATGCGGGCATGAATATGAATAATGATGGAGGGGATAGTGCTGGGCCAATGGCTGATAGTAAGTAGCATACATACATACATACGCATATTTAATTTCATCAGTAAATGTTTTTCAGACCATGATCATGATCATCCTCCACCTGATGATGACACAGAGTACCCTACACCACCGCCTGGTTGGGTGGAAGAGCATCCCGATACCGCACATGATAGTCCACACGTGCATAGCGCCTTCCAGGATCTGCATAGTGATCACCACTATGATTTCCATCATGATCATTTGCCTTCATATCCTCAATATTTTCACCCTTATCCACAAATTATATGGGATGATCATCATCCACATCATGAACATCCGTCACCACCACCACCACCACCAACGCTGCCACCTATCACTACCGAGATTCCGCCCCCAGAACCTCCACCAGAGCCACGTGTTAAAAAATATAGCTACTTTTACATTGGTCGAAAGTTGTGGTATATACCCCTTTACTTTACGGTTTGGTTTAGTTTTTATGTACTATGGCTCATTCTAAAATCGATTGCGCGGCATAAGGTAAGCTAAAGAATATATATATATATAAATAAATATCATAAGAATAGGTTTTTTATCAATATCAATACATTTTTAGGTCAATTTACCGAATCACTATGTCAGCAGGCGTAGTCTACCGGATTTGCCTATGACACAGACACAGACAAACGAATACATTAACGACTTAACCGTATCTGTTTTAGAAAAAATTGAAAACTTCCAAAGGAAGTTTGCCATATGACTGAAGGCTGAATCAATAACTGTTTACCTAACTGTATATTTGTCTAATAAAGAAATTAAATAATAGAAACGTGGTTTTTTACTTACATATATCGTAACAAATATCATTAATTGTTTTCGACTTTATACTAAGAATATGGGCGAATAGACCTGAAATCAAAAGCCTACGTGGTAGGTTATATGAATTTGGAAAATATTTTACCTTTTTGTAGTTTTCGGCCAGCTACATTTACATACATATTTATTTTAATGAACATAAATAAAGAATGAGTTAAATTTTTTACAAACATTATTAAAATTATTATTCAGAATTATGCATTTAGTTGAAGTAATTATGTGTGTACTAGTGTCCCACCCAAGGCCTATTCGGCTCATTTTTATCTTCGGGCTTCGGGCGAAAATGCCGAAAAATTAGGCAATTCACAAGGTGTTGTATTTGTCACGAAGTTATATTATTTTACGACAGTTGTTAAAATTTTGTTGTTGTTTCGCATCTCTGCATAACACTTTTGAAAATGTAAGAACTTTACGTTTTGCTGTGATTTTGTAGAAACATTGGCGCTATTTGGAAGTTTTTCAACAGACAAAAAGTCAACTGCGATTTGCAATGTGTGCCAGAAAAAACTTTCAAAATTTCATCAATTAAGAAAAAATAAAACTTTATCCCACATCTACACGCTATAAGGTCTTTAATTGGACCTCTAATTTTTAAAATTCCTTTTTAAAAGTATTCTCAAACTAAAATCTTCTTAATTTGTTCGTACACATGGCAACCCTCCTAAATAAAGGTTAGAAATAAAGCGTTTTCAAACCCATTTCGACCGATACCCACCATTTTTAAGTAATTTATCCAACTTTTTGAATATTTTGAATGTAACTTCTTAAACACGTGGCAACCCTCTTCAAACATTCAAAAAATTCAAACTAAAGATTTCTTAACATTATTTTGTTTGATTATGGTATTTTTATATTTCATATACTCTTTGTATTAGTTAATTGAAATAGACCTTTCAAACAGATGGCAGCCCTCTTCAAAAGTATTTTCAAGCTTAAGCCTTGTTAACTCTCCTTCGTCGGATATTGCGGTACATATTTTAATTAACTTATGAATTAAGTGGAACTTGCATGACTTTTCAAACATGTGGCAACCCCGTTAAATATGGTTCAGAAATAAAGAATTTTCAAACCCCCTTCGATTCGTAACCATATTTAAATAATTCTTTTAACTTATTAAACAATTTGAATTTAACTTTTTGAATAGGTGGTAACCCTCTTCCAACACCTCTAAAATATGCGTTCAAACTAAGGATTTCTTACCCGTATAGTTCAGTTAAGAAACAAAGCTTTTCAAAACCATTTCGATTGATACCCATTTTGTGATAAGTGATTTATTTTTTTTAAATAATTTGAATATAATTTTTTGAAGGGTGAGAACTTTTTTCAAGAAAGTCAAACCTTATTACACATCTGCAGTCCAAGCCTTTTAATGTGACACCTCAACTTGTTACGAAATAAAAAATCACAGATTAAATATTTTTGAAACGTAAAACAGAATTTGAATGTTCGGCTTCGGCTTCGGTGTTCAGCCGAATATTGAATAGTACCTAATATTGGGCTTCGGCTTCTGCCAAGCTTCGGTTGAGATGATTTTTCCGAAATATTTTGGTGCAAGTCTTAAAATACAATAATTCCAATGGGGAGTGAGGCAATCTAATGTATATAATTCGTATTGCTTAAATACTGTTTTTTATGTTTAATAAATATTGTAGCTAAGATTTCTGAATTCGTTTCATACATCACCGTCTCAGTTAACTCTGCATCGTCATCAGCCTCTAGCTTTATTTTGGATGCCCTTATTGAGTGGATTTGTGTTTCCTCTCCGGATGATTCAACATTTTCATCGAGTATGTCTACCCTTATCTCATCTGAACACCTCAACCAACCCTAGAGACTACAAATTTTTGAATAGATCCCGGGAGTTGTGAGTATGTTCTCCTCTCTTGGCCATAAGCGATCTATGCCGTGTAATGATTCTTAGTTTCTCCTTAAGGAGACCCATGAGTAGCCTATATCTTTTCAGATTGTACTCTCCTATTAATCCATGGTGTTACATCCTTGTAGTTCCCTTAGTTTGATATTCTCTTTCTGAGCATTTTAAGGGCTCAGGTCCTATCGAGGTTGAGGCAACGGCCGTTCTGGCCAACTGATCCGCCTCTTTATTTCCCATGTGATCTGGTGCCCACAACCATTGGAAATCATTGTCTTCAGCGAGAGTATTATGCCTATCTAAATACTACGAAACCAAGGACTTGATCTCAAAGCATGATAGAGCTTGAAGAGCCGCCTGACTATCGCTTGCAATCAGTATCCTCTCGCTTCGATAATTCCTTCGAATTTTAATCTCAGCACACCGACTGATGGCATAGACCTCCGCTTGAAAAATGCTTGGGAAGGTTCCCAAGGGCACCGAAAGCTGCTCGCTATTCCTAGATGATAACACCTTGCCTTTGTCAAAACCCTCCCCCGCAAAATTAAGGTGGGTTGGCTTTGCAGCCTTTTCTACTGAAAGATGCAGTGGCTCACGTTCCAGGATTACCTCCAGCGCTGCCGTCGGGCATCAACATAATCATGCGCTTACCCTTGGTAGCTGACGCCCCCAGTTGCGGCCAACCTTTTGATGTTTGTATTTGAAACACGCTTTCGACGCATTCCTGGTCTGAACTAGGCTAGCTATCCATCTGAGGATGGTTGGCTGAATATTATGCTTCTCAAATCCTCTATTGACTCCCAAATGGTCTAAAGCCCCTCAATGTCGAGGAAAGCACAGAGCACTTTTATTTCTGTGGTCAGGGCATACAGCGCGGTGTCCCTGAATCTGCTCACTCTCTATCCGTGCTGGTCCGAATGCAAGGGAGCCTGTTTCAGAGTTTAGACTTAATGTGTTGCTCGATAATTTCCTCCATTGTCTTTAACATAAAGGAGGCGAGATTTATCTGCAGGAATGACTTGGCTAGAGAGTAATCTCTCTTACTTAACTTCGGGGTAAGAATACCCCGGGCTCTCTGCCACACCGCGGGAATGTGGGCCAGTGCTAGACTCTCTCCTGATATCTACAAAATGTAGAAGTAGGAGCTCCGTGTCCTGATTCAACAACACTGGACAGATGCCATCTACCCCGGGATCCTTGTACCGTTTGAAGGCGTTCAGCGCCCACCGCACTGATTGCCGGTTTATAAGGTTTTTAGCCAGCTTCAGGAGTGGATGCTGTGCGTTGGCGTTGTCCCCTGGAAAATAGGCTGCGGCCAAGACTACCTCCGTTTCGCTACCAGATGCTGTGTAAGAAACTCCGTAACGCAGAAATAATTCATACTTCTCGTCAACACTACACACGCTTTGGGCCTCTAACGGGAGAGGTCCCAAATTACCTTATTATTGTTGTGATTTAGACCCCTAACCTAGTCTCTGTAAGTCCACGGTTCCCGTGTCAGTAGAATTCCCAGGTCCTCCATGACAAATCTACTTGCAATGACCGGGATAAATGGGCTACTGCTGTCTGGTATACTCATAATTGAGACTCGTCGTCGATATCGGACAGGTGTAAAACACTCTCGCTTCTTCTAGAGTTCGAGCCTGCCAATGTCCTCTAGCGGTACGCACGTAGTTTTTGTTGTTGTTACAGCATACAAATTCCGCACAGAGTTTTTGGGGTGTGATGCTGGGGAGACCGTCCTTGGCCAGATATAAATCTGGGCCATTCTGGTTAGGTAAACCCGACTGTCGTGGAAACGTGCGCACGTAGTCGACCCGGTTTGTGGTAGCGCCTGGCACGGCTGCGCTCGCAGGAGCTGATACCTGTGCTTTTTCGGGTTACTGGTTTGTCTGTGGGGCCGTGACGGACTCTGTCGCTAGTGCAGCAGTGGAGTCGGTAGCCGCGTCAACTTGCATATCTTGCGACTCTGACTCCTTGCTACCTGCCGTCATTGCTGTCACTGCCTCATCGTGACATACATAGCTGTACCGGAAGTTTAAATTGAAGCCGGCCCTTTGGATGCTTACATATGGCGCTTCGTCGATATCCGTATTGAGTCTGAGAATGTTATCTTAACAAATATCATTTCTTGTTTTTAACTTTAAACTAAGCACGTTGTAGAACTGGACTGAAATCAAAAGCTATAGTGGTAGGTTGTATGAATCCACTAAATATTTTAGTTTTATTGTAGTTTTCAAGAAGCTACACATATACATATTTAAAGAACATAAATGATGAATGAATTAAATTTTATACAAACGTTAGTAAAATTACTAGACAGTTACATTAATTATAAAACATTCAATCGCAATATCAAAGATAGCACTAATGTATTGGAAATGCAATACATTCACTATTGGAAACGAAACATTTTGAGCAGTTGGCTATTTTTCTTTTGTTTATTTAATGTTTTTTAATTGGCTGTAGAATGTACTAGGGATGTTTCGAATGTCATATTTTTCGCATTCGCTAATGCAAATGTGCCAATGCGAATGTTAGGAATAACACTAAAAAAGCTATAGATAATGAACTTAAGTCATCGTTTTTATTTCTTAAAAATTTTGTATATTACAAAGAACATTGAATGACCTATACAGTGTTTTAATCTAGTAGCTAAAGTTCAAAAGGGGCATATTATATTTAAAAAAAATTAATTTCGCTGCCTTTTTTCCCACGAGGTCGTTGTTGTTGTTGTTGTAGCAGCATACAAATTCCCCAAAGACTTTTTGGGGAGTGTTGCTGGAGTGACAGTCCTTGGCCAGATATAAATCTGGGTCGTTCCGGTTACGTAGACCCGACTGTCGTGGGAACGCCCACGAGGTCGTATTTTAGTTTAGTTTTCCACCAGTCGAGAGGATTTTCGCCCAGATGAGCTCGTTTTTCTTTAAGATAGGCCTTCAATTGAGCATTAATTTCACACTTTTTAATGTCTCCAGATTCTACATCCAAGCATTCACTTTCGCTGGAGGTATCTAAAATTATGTCTAGGTTGCCTATAAGACTTTTAGCAGTACTTGTTGAAGGCCTGAAATCGGAAATTCACATTTCAACCTTTCTACAAACATTCAATAAACTTTCGCCAAAACTTCACTTTTTATTCAGAGTTTGAGAAAAATTAAAGTAATGTCTGTTTTTTGAGGTATAGTTAAATCATTAGTTTAACTTAACTACTGGAATTTCTAAAGAGCCTCTGTATGTTAAAATTTAATGGGCCTTTATATTATGCATTTTTGAAGCGGTTAGGAATTCGCGGTTTATAATCATTTCTTTAATCAAAATGAAAAATCTAATCAACGCGAATTCGTAGCCGCTTCATATATACATTCTGGTTAAAACGTTTGAAGTTTTGGTGAAAATTTGTGGAATTTTTATACAAATCTTGAAATGTGGAATTACAAGGCGTTTATTATGCATATATAAACTGGACTTTAATAAGAAATTAATAAACATTACATGAACCAAAGAAAGATAACCAAAACCGGTCAAAATGTCGGATTGCTTTTTTCCAATTGTGTATGTGTGTAATAGATACAGGTTGCAACAGTCATTATTCTGCTCTAACCCAGTTTTATAACCTTTAAATGAATTTCAAACCAAATTTAAAGCATTCGATTTTCTTTTCGTTAACTCGTATTGCATTAAAAACGGTTTTTTATGTTTAAGAAATATTGTTACTTATATTTCACCAATTATTTCATATACCACCGTCACTTCACTATCGGCATCATCATCCTCCATCATGTCCTCCTGCAACTCAATAAACTCTGCATCGTCATCAGCCTCTAGCTGTATTTTGGATGCCACTATTGACTGAGTTTGTGTTTCATCTTCGAATGATTCAATACTTTCATCGAGATATTCTTCATTTGTTTGTTTCGGGGTCTCAGTACGTTTTTCGCGTTCCTCCGCTGCAATTAACAGTTGCCTCATGTGTATCGGCAAACCGCCATGATGACGCTGAACCATTCGGGGATTTTCTACGACACTTGTGCTGAGATGTTAAAGAAAAAATGAGGAAATTTGATTTACAGAATTTTATTTGACTAGTGCAAAAAATTACCTCGACCGCAGTTCTTCAAGTTTGGGCACACTAACGGCTTCCGATTTCTTCCCCATTGCCTCTTCTTCGGCTAATTCCTGTGCGTGCATCTTCTTTTTATGAGAACGACAGTTGGAACCATTTGAAAAAGTTTTCTCGCAAAAGTTGCATTTGTACGGCCGCATACCAGTGTGTAAAATCAGGTGATTTTTTAAAGCCTTAGCCCGCTTAAAAGCCGTTGGACAGAAGTCACATTTGTAACGTTTGGCATCCGAATGAACAATCATATGCATTTTCAGCGTGCGGCGCGTATTTAGGCTTAGACCACACTCAGGACAAATGAATGAGGAGAGCGTATGTGTCTCCAAGTGTACCTGTGTAATCAGGTATAAAGTGAATGTAAAAATAAATTGACCAAAATAAATTTACAACTTACCTTCAATCGAGCTTTAGTCTTGAATGCTTTTTGACACACCTCACATTCGTACGGTGTGTCGTCGGTATGAACTAGTTTGTGTTCACTTAATGCGGCCAATGTTTTCATAGATCGCCCACACTCCTCACACACGTAGGGCTTCTTGTTTTCGTGTATGCCCTGTACATGTTGACGCATCACTGCTACTTTAGTAAATTTTCGATCACAATAGGGGCACGGTATATCAAGTTTATCCTCAAGTGCTAGATGCGATCGCGCATGTAATTCTAATTGTCGCTGTGTTGGGTATATTTTATCGCAAGTTTCACATTTGAAATCCGGGATGTCTGGCTCCATGTTATGCTTTTCCGACGTATGTTTGCGATAAGATGTTGGATTTTTATATTTTTTGTGACATATGTTGCATTCATATTTAAAGGATGTTTGGCAATTGTCATTTGTATCTTCTTCGGAATTTGGATCAGTTTTCCCATTTTCTTTTATATCATCCATGTCGTAATTTGGTGGCCTACCACGTCGTTTCTTACGTGTCCGACTACTTGAATCAATACTATGGGCTGGAGCCGATTGATCGCCACTGCTAGAATCATTATTTGAATCGTAGGTTTCAACAACTTCTTGTATATTTTCATTATTTTCTTCAATTATTTCCTTAGCTTTTTTTTCTTTTACCGCCTTATTTTTTTGTTGCTCTGTATTTGCATCGTGATCGCCTTCCTCCCCTCTTAGTTGTCGAAGCAATTCAGCATCGTCTAACCCTTCTTCGGTTGTGTTCTTTTCAAACAAAATGTGCTCTTCGGCTTCCTCCTCAGAATCACCGATTATTGTGCCTATCGGTATTATATATTCTTCTCCGTCATTATCACTACCTACATTTCGTTTTCTTTTCAAACCTCGATTTATACGCTCAAAGGAAAGTTTTTCTGATACCTTTGATTCGTCGTTTTTTTGAAATTCAAGCTCTTCTTCCTTACTATATATTCCTTCTGATTCCCATTCACATTCATCACCTAAACCTTTATCGTCATTAATTTCTTTCTCCTCAGCAGCGCGTTCCAGCTTAATTATATGGTCCCACTCCATATCGAGCAACCCATATTGTAATTTTACTTCATTAAGGTCCATTGTATTATTAGAATTTGAATTTTGCAGTGCGCAAAACATGGCTTGCACTTTGTTAACACGTTCAGTAAACTGTGTCAGTGAACAAACCAGCGTGTGACATTCAAGGCAAACAAATTTTGATATTTCATCATTTGGTCTAATCTGCAAAAGTAGAAAAAGGTCGTAACTATATGCCTATATGCACATGCTTTCTTTACATACATTGACCCAAAAAAACTTTCCAATAGCAGTCGCCAAAGTGGTATCCATTACACTTCCTGGTTCTGCTATTTCAGGAAAGATATTTAAATTGCTTTCGTCTTCTTTAGAGCACAAACGGCACCAATGCTTCCAAGCTATGTTCCCATTATCGGTTGCGGTATTCTCCGAGCCCAACGCCGCAGCCGAGACTTTCTGAGATTGTTTGGATGTAAGCATTATAAACAATTCTGCCCGCTTGTTTTATGCTCAAAAATTCCACATATAAAATGTCAAATTTATAATGGCTAATGTAATTTGTTTGCAAAGTTATATTTTTTTAATCACGAAAAATCCAAGCTATTAGCTGTCAAACAGATGTCAAATGCGGAGATACAGGGTTGCCTTTGAATACCGTAAAATATTCGATTCTTTATTAACTGGCCGGCCACAGGTGCATGCGCTAGTAATATTAGGTTTACATATAAGTAGATTATCTCTTTTTCGAGCTGAACTCCGTAATCTGTAATTAGATAAAGAGATTAACCATACAAAGTTCGTCATATGTAATTATAAAATAACCATAGATTAAGGGCCGGTTGTTCAATGTCTGGTTAGCACTTATCTCCGGTTAAACATTGTTATCGACGTATTCGACTCCATTCATATAACAAGGAGTCGGTAACGTCGATAAAGATGTTTAACCAGACGTTAGTGTTAACCAGACTTTAAGTAACCGCCTCTAAACCGATAAATTTTCCGTTTCCGACCTAGTTTTATCAAAGAACGTAGATAACAAGAAGGGACAACTCGTAGATAAGTAGATTATCTCTTTTTCGAGCTGAACTCCGTAATCTGTAATTAGATAAAGAGATTAACCATACAATATTCGTCATATGTAATTATAAAATAATCATAGATTAAACCGAGAAATTTTCCGCGTCCGACCTAGTTTTATCAAAGAACGTAGATAACAAGAATGGACAACTCGTTATAATTGTGGCGAAAGTGCGCAACAGGGGCGTGCCTTCTCTTTTGCCCTAGTGCGTTTTTTGATTGAATTAAAAGAGAAGGTACGCCCCTGTTGCGCACTTTCGCCACAATTATAACGAGTTGTCCATTCTTGATATCTACGTTCTTTGCTTATACGTGAAAATGAAAAAAATCAAATTTGCAACTTTCCGCTTCTACCAGTTTAATATGCCTTGCATTCATGAAAATATACGAACGAACATTCCCTTAAAAGGTGTTCGCCCGAGCCGATTTTGCTTTCAACTCACGCAGGGTTGCACGAAAAAAAGTTGAATGGCTAACTTAGGGTCTACACCGGACAATACTGTCATGACAATAGCAATACTTGCACATTTTTTCACTAATACATGCATACATTTCCATACATTGCGTTTTTGACAACTAATACGTATTTCTTTATTTTCATAATGCACGTGCAACCCTGTGCGAGTTGAACGCAAGTTGCCTGAAAAATCGCCTCATGCGAAAGCCCCATAAAGAATCGAATATTTTACGGTATTCAAAGGCAACCCTGTATCTCCGCATTTGACGTCTGTTTGACAGCAAATTGCTTGGATTTTTCGTTATTAAAAAAAAAAATTACTTTGCAAACAAATCACATTAGCCATTATAAATATGACATTTTATATGTGGAAATTTTGAGCATAAAACAAGCAGGCAGAATTGTTTATAATGCTTACATCCAAACAATCTCAGAAAGTCTCTGCTGCGGCGTTGGGCTCGGAGAATACCGCAACAGATAATGGGAACATAGCTTGGAAGCATTGGTGCCGTTTGTGCTCTAAAGAAGACGAAAGCAATTTAAATATCTTTCCTGAAATAACAGAACCCGGAAGTGTAATGGATACCACTTTGGCGACGGCTATTGGAAAGTTTTTTTGGGTCAATGTAAAGAAAGCATTTGCATATAGGCATATAGTTACGACCTTTTTCTACTTTTGCAGATTAGGCCAAATGATGAAATATCAAAATTTGTTTGCCTCGAATGTCACACGCTGGTTTGTTCATTGACGCAGTTTACTGATCGTGTTAACAAAGTGCAAGCCATGTTTTGCGCACTGCAAAATTCAAATTCTAATAATACAATGGACCTTAATGAAGTAAAATTACAATATGGGTTGCTCGATATGGAGTGGGGCCATATAATTAAGCTAGAACGTGCTACTGAGGAGAAAGAAATGAATGACGGTAAAGGTTTAGGTGATGAATGTGACTGGGAAGCAGAAGGGAACGACAGTAAGGAAGAAGAGCTTAAATTTCAAACAAACGACGAGTCAAAGGTATCGGAAAAACTTTCCTTAGATCTTATAAATGGAGGTTTGAAAAGAAAACGAGATATAGGTAGTGATAATGACGGAGAGGAACATATAACACCGATAGGCGCAATAATCGGAGTTTCTGAGGAGAAAATCGAGGAGCACATTTTGTTTGAAAAGAATACAACCGAAGAAGGGTTAGACGATGCTGAATCGCTTCGACAACTAAAAGTGGAGGAAGGCGATCACGATGAAAATACAGAGCAAAAAAATAGGGCGGAAAGAGAAAAAACAGCTAACGAAATAATTGAAGAAAATAATGAAAGTTTACAAGAAGGTGAAACCTACGATTCAAATAATGATTTTACCAGTGGCGAACAATCGGCACAAGTCAATAGAATTGATTCAAGTAGTCGGACACTTAAAAAACGGCGTGGTAGGCCACCAAGTTCCGATATGGATGATATAAAAGAAAATGGGAAAACTGACCGAAATTCCGAAGAAGATACAAATGACAATTGCCAAACATCCTTTAAATATGAATGCAACATATGTCACAAAAAATATAAAAATCCAACATCTTATCGGAAACATACATTGGAAAAGCATAACATGGAGCCAGACATCCCCGATTTCAAATGTGAACGTTGCAAAAAAATATACCCAACAGAACGACAATTAGAATTACATGCGCGAACGCATCTAGCACTTCAGGATAAAGTATCCGTGATGCGTCAACATCCACAGGGCATACACGAAAAAAAGAAACCCTACGTGTGTGAAGTGTGGGGGCGATCTATGAAAACATTGGCCGCATTAAGTGAACACAAACTAGTTCATACCAACGACACACCGTACGAATGTGAGGTGTGTCAAAAAGCATTCAAGACTAAAGCTCGATTGAGGGTAACAAAAATTGTACATTTATTTTGCTCCATTTATTTGTATATTTACTTTATACCCAAACAGGTACATTTAGAAACCCATACACTCTCCTCGTACCTTTGTTCTGAGTGTGGTCTAAGTCTAAATACGCGTCGCACGCTGCAAATGCATATGATTGTTCATTCGGATGCAAAACGTTACAAATGTGACTTCTGTCCAACGGCTTTTAAGCGGGCTAAGGCTTTAAAAAATCACCTGATTTTACACACTGGTATGCGGCCGTACAAATGTAACTTTTGCGAGAAAACTTTTTCAAATGGTTCCAACTGTCGTTCCCATAAAAAGAATTTGCACGCACAAGAATTGGCCGAAGAAGAAGCAGTGGGAAAGAAAACGGAAGCCGTTACTGTGCCCGAACTTGAAGAACTGCGGTCGAGGTATATTTATGTACTAGTCAAATAAATAATATATAAATCTAATTTGCTCATTTTGTCTTTAACATCTCAGCACAAATGTCGTAGAACTGTTAATTGCAGCATGGGAACGCGTAAAGCGTACTGAGACTGAGACCACTAAACAAAGAAATGAAGAATATCTCGATGAAAATATTGAATCATTCGAAGAGGAAACACAAACTCAGTCAATAGTGGCATCCAAAATAGAGATAGCGGCTGATGACGATGCAGACTTAATTCAGTTGCAGGAGGGCATGATGGAAGATGGTGATGCAGATAGTGAAGTGATGGTGGTATATGAAACAATTACTGAAATCTAAGTAACAATATTTCTTAAACATAAAAAATAGTTTTTAATGCAATATGAATTAACAAAAAAAAAAATCTAATGCTTTAAATTTAGTCTGAAATTCAATTAAATGCCATAAAACTGGGTTAGAGCAGAATTGTGGCTGTTGCAACCCGTATCTAATACAAACAAACAATTGGAAAAAATAGCAATCCGACATTTTGACCGGTTTCGGCTCTTTCTTTGTTCATTTAATGTTTATTAATTTCTTTTTTAAAAACCAGCTTATATATCGTCATTTAAAGTTCAAAGCCACGTATCGTTCTCCGCAAAACAGCGTAACTGACATTTTTTGCCAAAAATTGGATTTGCTCACACAAGCTCTTGGCTCAAGCCTTATAGCTCAGTTATGCATACTTAGCGTCGCATGAGAATTGTCACATAAGGAATCTGTTAAATTTACTTTAAAGGCTCTGTTATACATACTTCGCAAAGCTTGAGTGTTGTCATATAAGGAATCTGTTGAATGAGCTTCGCATGTAAGCGGTTACTCAACGCACAGCATTACATACGTAGAAGTCTGTTGGTTTTTGATTTCTACGTAAAAATGGTATAGCTGAGCATGCAATGCCAAGTATGCCCAGCTATGCATACTTGCACTGCTATATCATTTTTACGTAAAAATCAAAACCCAACAGAATTCTACATGTTAAGTGCTATGCGTTGAGTAACCGCTTGCACGCAAAGCTCATTTAAGAGATTTTTAACCGTTCGTCCTGAAATATACCCAGAAATTCGCCAGAAATGCGATTGCTTTATAAAAAAGAGAAGCATTTTGAACTAAGGGCCGGTTGTTCAATGTCTGGTTATCACTACCACTGCACTATCGACGATTTCGACATCATGCATATAACATGTTATCGATAAAGCTGTCGTATTAACCGGAGCTTCTGCCTCCGGTTGGTGGTAATCTGGTTAACACTAATCTCCGGTTAAACATGGTTATAACATATGATCGATAAAGCAGTTAACGTGCTTAACTGAAGGATGTACCTCCAGTTAGCGTTAACTAGACATGGTGCAAACGGCCCTAAATAGGATATATGAGTGGCTTTAATGCGATATAAAACTGTTATATACAATTTATACATTTTGAGAAATAATTCAATTTAATTTAAAAAAAAGTTACACAATATTTTAAATAAACATATGATTTTTTAAAAATTGCCTTATCAAATATATTTAAAAATTTTGTAATTCAATAGTATATAAAACAGGCTTTCATTTGGTATACATCATGTCTTTAGTCCATGCTATACAGTGTGGGGGCAGAACTTCTTTATGCGTAGGCGGCCTTCGACCGCGCTTGGGGATTATAACCTTTTTATCGGAGTTGTTATCGTTATTTTCATCGAATTTGTTATAGATTTTATTATCAATATTTTTATCGATTTTGTTATCGATATTTTGATCAATTTTCTAATCGATTTTGTTACCGAGATTTTTATCGATTTTCTAATCGACTTTGCTACCAATATTATCGATTTTGCTATCGAAATTTTTATCGAATTTGTCATTGAATTTTTTATCGATATTTTTATAGGTTTTGTTATCGATATCAATTGCATCAATTCACCCTGTACCTCTAAAAAAGTTCTTACTTCAAAAAATAAAACCAAGGCCCTTAATTTGACAACTACTTTTTTAAATTCGAAAGGACTGTGCAGATCTGATCTTGACACAAAATTGTTTCCCGTATTCGAACACCCGTATTTTAATACGTAAATATGTATGTAATTCATTTACCTAACTCCCTTAATTTTAGTAGAATTTGACGTTTTAAACGGGTGGCAACACTCCAACATATTTATTAGAATTGGAGCCTTTTCAAACCAATTTTTAGTAATACCCATACTTTAATAACTGATGAAATAATAGGTGCAAACCCGTATTCCTCGGACTCGGACTAGTAAAACTGTCAAAAAATAAAAATTCGCTCAGAGCGAGAGAGTAACATTGAAAAGTACGGGATCGCTTTCTAGTAAAAAATGGTAACTTCTGTCAACTTCAACATAACCTCCAAATTTTGGTTGTAAAATTTTTGCTTATTTTGCATGTAAGCACACTCAGCTCACACATGTAAATAACCAAAAATACTTTCAAATTCATTAGAATCCACTTAAACAAGTAATTAAATACTTTTCAACATGAATTAGGAGAGTGTACTTTTCTTTTGTTTACAATTTGGTTGCCAAACACACTACAGCTGATCGTTTGACTCATTTACCAGAATTTACCAGCGAAAAATTCTCGGACCAAAACTGGTAACTTCTGACAGAGAGAGAACCGTATTTACTCTCTTTTTTGTCCTCTCAATAGTCAGAGAACCGAGTACGGGATCGATTTCCAGTAAATTCTGACTGATTTTGACTAGTCCGGACTCGTACGGGGTCGCAACTAATTTTAATTAAAATTTTAACAGGGGGCAACACTTAAAAAAAATAAACCTTAGTACACTTCTACAGGCAAGCGCTTTAATAGTTGCGTTCCACATGCTTCACGATTTGCAGGTTTTTACAGGAAGTCGTTCCAGGTGACCATAAGGTCTATTAATATCACAACCCATTATTCGAAAGCGAACGCATGCAAACCAGGTCGCATTAAAAAAAAGTAAGTGCGCCTGGGACAGAAGTGAAACTTACGTTACTTATCTATCTATACATACACACATCTGCTTTTGGTTAAGGTTATATTTTTTCGCTTTTTTCTTTCAATGTATATCCCTACCTCAACCACTGTTCGTTTTAATAACATTCTTGTTATTCTGTTTTTCCATTATCTTCATACTCTATCGATATAACGTCCATCAAAATATAGAAAACAAAATCGATAACAAATTCGATAAAAATTTCAATAGCATCGATAATACCATTGGTAGCTAAATCGATTAGAAATCGATAAATATCGATAACAAAAACAAAATCGATAAATATTGATAACAAAATCGATAAATATCGATAACAAAATCGATAAATATCGATAACAAAACCGATAAGAATCGACAACAAAATCGATAACAAAATCGATGAATATCGATTAAAAAATTCGGTAAATATCGATAACAAAACCGATAAAAATATCGATTATTTAATCGATAAGTCTCGAGAATCTCGTAAATCTCTAAAATCCCAAAATAGTTCCCAGATTGAGTCTCTGTGTCTCTCTCTATATCCTTTCCTTTTTTATTACCTTTATTTTAATCTTTCTTCCCCTACCTTCATCTTTACTTTTATCGGTATCCCCATCCTCATCTTTGTTTTTACTTTTATGTTTATCATTTTCTTCATCAACAGTGTTTAAATTTACCTTGGTCTTCGTTTTTACCTTTATTTTTACACATCTTTGTTTTTGTTTTTATTTTTACCTTTGCCTTTATAATTTTCTTTATCTATGTACGTACTCACCTTTACTTTCATTCTTGTATTGTTATTTCTAAGTGTTATCCTCTAATCCAGACATGGGCACTTTTTTGCCCGCGCAGTAGCGAAGGTGCGAGCGCGGTCTGGAGAAAGGGAAAAACAGTTTAAGGGAGGAAGGGTATGAAAAGTTGCGAAAAAATTATTTATATCCCACCGACATCATGTTCATCGCAGTACGGCTGCGGTATAGGGATGGCAAAGTCGACTTCGACTTTCGACCAAAATCGACTTTTTACTCCTGAAAGTCGAATTTTAGTTATCGACTTTTAGTTTATGGAGGTCGACTGAAGTCGACTTTTCACTTTCAACTCTCGACTTTTTTTGATTTATTTGCATATAAAAACTGATCTTCTAACAAGGGCGCGGAGTGCTGTTTGGTCGTATTTAAAAAAATTTGCCAATAAAACTGAAGTGAAATTTGAAAAGTGTGGTAGAGAAATGACTTTTAATGACAGTACAACAACATTGTCAAATCATTTAAGAGCAGCGCATAAAATTACTATACGAAAACAAATTCCTCAAATTTGTTAATCGTTTGTATCCACAGTCTTCAGTTAATAATGAGGTAAGATAAACATAGGTATTTGTTTTAAAAATTTCATGCAAGAAAGTTTTTCTGCAGAGTTTATGTAAGTTTCTACAGACAGTCTTTGGTTCGAATTTGACCAATCCGTAAGGTACAACATTTTAAACACCGCTAAAACGTTGCTGGTATGATTCCAGTTAATATGCGACATTAGTCGTGTGGATAGTCCCAATCCACTAGCTGTCTGGGCTACTCCCATATTTATCCATGCTTATAAAGTGGCACTATATTTCTACCAATACCAATACTATATTTCTACCAATACCTGCCAATTCTGCTCCATCGGAAGGCCACATTTTTCAAAAAGTTGTCCGTAATTAACAAATATCGATTCAAAAAATGTTTAGAATTTTTTTTTGTGAAAATTAAAAAATTTTTAAATAATTTTTTTATTTTTGAAAACCCTCACAACCAACATTTTCATGCTGTATAACTGGAACGATTTTCAAAATTTTTAAAAATCCTTTAGTGTCTGTTTTTTTTTACCTAGCATTGAATTTCACTAAATTACAGATTATTCTAAAGACCACTAGTAAATCATGATATTTTTTGCGTATTCTGACTCTTATATTTATAGCTAATATATGAGTTAAATGCAGAGTATAGTTAATACATTTTCTTTTTATTAAAAAAGTCGAACAAAGTCGACTTTTCTTCGTGGATCGGTCGACTTTTAAAGTCGGCTGTACAGAGTCGATCGAAAAGAAGAAAGTCGACTTTCTAGTGAAGTCGAACAACCCTACTGCGGTAATACTGACTTTGTGTACCAAACAAAGAGCATACATTTTCCTAATATACGCAATAAGCCATCGTTCGGACTTGCTCCGATAGGAGTAGATTTGTTCCGTTTTGTCGAAAAAATTTGAAACCTAGTCCTCTACTTCGCTCAACTGAAACCAATTACGTTTGAATGAATTTGCGTTCGCTTTTTTACGCTCTCGCATGTATTTGCATGTGATGCTTACGCTCTTTAAGCAGGCGCTCACTCTCTGTCCATGCTTGTATAAGAGCAAATTTGACATCGATATAACTGTTGCCAACTTTGTGCCTTTCGCAAGAAATTAAGTGCGTTTAGGGAATTAAAAGGCGAAAATTGTTTAGTTTAGCGCTTCTTTTGTTCTTTGGTGCCCTTTTCAAGGCAATTTTATAATAAAAACGTGATTCTATGGTGACATTGTATTTGACTTACACATATGTTAGTGTTTGGCCGAGCTTCTCCTCTGGATAATATGCCCCAAGTTAATCCAAACGCAATATTTTCACACAGTCTCTATCACGGAATCCATAGAATATTCTGCTAATTAGCTGGGTGTGCGCATTTGTACAAAAGTAAGCAATTGCATGAAAATAAAGCCTCTAGAAAAACCAAGTTTTGGAAATTGTTTTACGAATAAAAAAACATTTTGCAAATTAAATTTGTTAAATTGATTAACTGCGCATAGTTGGAAATATTTACAAGTTTCTTTGTGTATTTGTATTTGGAGCTTTTCGTCCGGTGTGTTGAAAATAA